CACATAGTTCGGTGACTCACCGAAATCCGCTCTTCGGACCGGTCCGATGGCCATACCGGTGATGGCTATAAAGCCATCACCCCATCTGCGAGCAAAAACAGAGAACAACAGAGAGAGACGGAGAACAACAGAGACCGAGAGAGATACAAAGAAACAAGATACTAAAAAAACTACCAACGATCTCAACAACAACGCAGCAAAGAAACAGAAAAGAAAGAAAAGAAAAAGAAAGAAGAGAAACTTACCGAGGAAGTCCCGACCACCGGACGTCACCAAAACCTTCGGAAACCGAAGGTACTTCTTTAGATTCGCTCCGATCAGGAGCCATTTAGAAGAAAAGAACACTGGAACCGCCCTTAGGACGGTCCGATCTATTTAATGGTGTAAAAATAAAATTTTCCAGCCACCGGATACGGTGGCCGGCGGTGACGGTCACGGCGGCAGACGGTTGCCGTTCGGTGACCGGCTTCCCTCCGATGAGGGAAGCTAGAGAGGAAACAGAGAGAAATTTGTTCTCTCTCTGTTAGAGAGAGAACATAAAGAAGGAAATGAGAAGCTGTCCCGTAGGGCCAGCCGGTTTAGGGTATTAATACCCTCTCCCAAACGACGTCGTTTCGGGGAGGGTATTTCTGTAATTTCATAAAGGGTAAACCCCGTCCGAAGCCATTCCAACTTGTAATTTTTACATTTTAGTCACTAAATCGAGTTTATAATCCTTTTAATTTGATCTTTAAATTTTAGTTTTATTTATTTTAGTCCTTTATATTAAAATAATATATTTAGGATAAATAACAGATTTAATCCCTTAATTTTAATAAATAATATTTTAATCCCTAGTTTATGTTTTAATTTATTTTATTCTAATATCCGAATTTTAGATAATTTTATTTTAGTCACTAAATAAATAAAATAAAGAAATAGCATGTTTAATCCCTATAATTTTGATTAATTATGAATTAGGTTTTTAATTTTACTTTTACTATAATTTAGTCATTTATTTTAAATGTTTTCATTTATTTTACTTCTTTTAAATATATCGTTCTAGTTGTATTTTTATTGTTTTAATTTTACTTGTTTATATTTTTAAATATTTTTATTATTATGTATTCATAAATATATATATAATAAATAATAATTTATTTTTTTAATAAATTATTTTAAAATTTATTTTTCAATATCGAAGAAAATGACAGTCTTAATACAACTGGATGTCCTATTCTGGTATTTTAAAATTAAAAAATATAAAAAAAATATATTATTTAATTTTATTTAAATTAATATTTATCAATATCAAAGAAAAGAGCTGTCTTAAGGCACCTAGAAGTCCTTTTCCGATATTTTTAAATATTTTTTATATAATTTTGAAATAATAGGATTATAAATTAAATATATTTTGAATTTTTAAAATTTTTAATAATAGAGACAATTTATAATTAAAAAGTACCAATTTTGGGCGTTGTAGGGGTGCTAATCCTTCCCTAAACGTAATCGACCACGAATCCCTTTTTATTATTAAAAAGAACGAATTTTTGGTTATAAACGCAGATCAGTTCGTTTTTTTATTTGATGTTTTCTTAAAACTCTTTTAAAAAATAATTTTTAGGTATTCGACCTACCTGACCCAAAAGGCCGATGGCGACTCCCAAATTATTTTTAAAACCATTTATTCACATCAATTTTCCAGCCAAGTATAATATTTCGTGCCCGGACGAAAACCGGTTACGACAGCTTGGCGACTCCACTGGGGAACGATCAAACTTTAAAATCAATTATAAATTGTCTCTATTAATTAAAAATTAAAAGTTCATATATTTAATTTTTAATTCTTTCTTTTCAAAATTTTTATATTTACTTATTATTTTCATAATATTTATATGTTTCATTTTACTTGTAAGTATTTTATTTCTTTATTTATTTTTCTGTCAAAGGTTTGAACATTTCTCCTCACACACAACACTTGCATTGCATAACATAAAGCTCTATAATTGAGTTTGTCCCTTTTAAGTGGGAGTGAAAGCGACGTCTTTGTGAGAATTTATTCTCCGTGTCAGACCTAGCAAGTAACTTTCGGGGTTCATATACTCTATGTTTTCGTGAGAATTTATTCTCCGTGTCAGGCATAGAGAAATGTATCCCCTCGAATTGAACTCGATCCATTTTAGTCTGTGATGGACTAGGATTGAGGGTTAGCAACCCAAGGGGGCACTAATAAGGACAATTCGGGTACCTTTATTCCTAGATCTGAAACCCTGCATATAAAAAAAACCTAGAAACTCTTCCAATCTGAAGTCATGTCGAAATTGTGTCCAAAATAGGTGTACACACAGGAGAAATGAATTCTAACTTTCCTGTTAATTGATTTATTTCCTTTACTAATTAAATTACATGTATATTTAAATTATTTAAATTTAGAAAAAGCATGTTTAAATAAAAATATTTAGGTAAATGTTAATATTAATTTTTTTTTATTATGTAAACTAATTCATTTCTTTTGTGTGTTCTTTATTTTTCTGTTTGCATAGCATCATACAGGATAAAAGGCATTGATCCTTGTGTTAATTGTCTCATTGGAAAGCCTTCATCCATGGATAAAAAGTGTTCAAATCAAGTAATTCTAAACTCAGAAGTAAGACAGTGGGCTGAGGATTTACAAAGACAAGAAGGAGACAGTCTGCAGGATGATTATGTATCTGACTTGGCCAGTTATGCTTCAGTTTCGCTAAAAAGAAATGATATGCAGGATTTGCGAAGTATTTGGGAAAGTTGGGATTCAAACAAAAAATTGCAGTTTTATCAGACTTACGGAGACATCCCATATTTGCTCTATGTTGAAGTTGATGATGAATTACTCAGAGCCCTAATTCAATTCTGGAATCCAGGGTACAATTGCTTCACTCTCAATAAAGAAGACTTGGTCCCTACTATTGAATAGTTCACAACTTTGCTACATATCGAAGGGGCTTTGGAGAATCGAATCTATTCAAAGTCAATTAAAACTCAACCCTTTCGAGTTAAATTAGCAAAGATTGCCGGGGTACGAGAAGAATGGGTGGCATCCCGTACAAAACAAAAAGGTCAAAGCAAAGGCATTGCTTGGACCAACATTAAAGAACTTATTCAGAGTCATCCAGATACTAAAGTACGATTCGATCTATTTGCTCTGGGTATGTATGGTATGGTCATCTTCCCAAAAGTATTGGGATATGTTGAAGCTGCAGTGGTAGATTTGTTTGAACAGTTACCGAAAAAGATTAATCATGCTTCTGCAATCCTAGCAGAAACCTTCAGATCGTTAAATGCTTGTAGAAAGCTAGGAGGTGGACGATTCTCAGGGTGTACCCAGTTGTTATATGTTTGGATCCGTAGCCATTTCTGGAGGACAGAAAAGGTTTCATACCGACGCTTTAATACGAATTATTCACCATTAAAAGAATTTCTGGAGCAGGAATGGCCGAAAGAAAATTAAGAAAGATATGTGGATTAATGCCTTTCGAAATCTGCAAAGCAATGACATTGTTTGGCGAGCCCCGTGGCAAATCAAAAGGGAATTTATGGTATTTTAAAATTAAAAAATATAAAAAAAAATATATTATTTAATTTTATTTAAATTAATATTTATCAATATCAAAGAAAAGAGCTGTCTTAAGGCACCTAGAAGTCCTTTTCCGATATTTTTAAATATTTTTTATATAATTTTGAAATAATAGGATTATAAATTAAATATATTTTGAATTTTTAAAATTTTTAATAATAGAGACAATTTATAATTAAAAAGTATCAATTTTGGGCGTTGTAGGGGTGCTAATCCTTCCCTAAACGTAATCGACCACGAATCCCTTTTTATTATTAAAAAGAACGAATTTTTGGTTATAAACGCAGATCAGTTCATTTTTTTATTTGATGTTTTCTTAAAACTCTTTTAAAAAATAATTTTTAGGTATTCGACCTACCTGACCCAAAAGGCCGATGGCGACTCCCAAATTATTTTTAAAACCATTTATTCACATCAATTTTCCAGCCAAGTATAATATTTCGTGCCCAGACGAAAAACCGGTTACGACATTTACAATCAATAATCTCATTGCAGGCGATCTACCATGAGGAATATTTGACAACAATCTTTATAAGTTACAAGTACTTGATTTAAATTGGAATTAAATAACTGGTAGAATTCCAAAGAATTTATTAAGTGCAAAGGGTCTTGTATCTTGATCATAACAGCCTCGAAAGTAAACAATTTCTCAATTTTATCTCATTTACTTTGTTATTATTTTGATTTTTATGAACAGCTGTTTAAATATTGAAGAATGTCTTATATATTTCACCGTCGATCATGTGGTTTTTTTTATCTTCATTGAGTGAACTCTTATTCTTAGTTAGATTAAGGCAAAAAGACATAAAAGGTCCTTGTACTTTTGAGAAAAATCAATGTGACCATCGTATTATATTTTCTCTCAATATGTCCCTTCAACTTAGAAAACAAACCCAATGTGACCCTTTGACTAATGTTTTTCGTCATTTGACCGTTACGGTGTTGACGTGATGGTCCATGGTACTAACGTGACAGTCCACCTATCATGTTGAGTTATCAATTTAGCTCATCCGCTATGTTATTAACCACCGTGGACTGCCACAGTAATGGGTGTTAACAACTGACAAGTCGATAACGTTAGTGATCATTTTGTTACAAATTGATAATATTAATGATCAATTTGTAACTTTTAAAAGTTTAGTGAAGAAAACAAATACTTACCTAAACATTAGTCTCATTTGTATAGTTTACCCTAAAATAAACTAATACGGCACTAGTAATTATTATATTATCATTAGATATGGTTTAAAATGTCTCATGCGGAGCAGATAAGATTGACAATTGGGTGGGACTTGCCAGCTCAGCACCCTTTGTCTTAAAGTTATTTTCTTGAATTTTCGGCTTAAAAAAAGCACGTGCCTAAAAAAATTAGTAGCAAAAAGGCCTAAAAAATAGTTGAATTTTTGACAATGTGCTGGTTATGACGGTTAATTCAATTGGTGCAGTTTTTCAAATAACGTACATTATCATCTTCATCGTGCATGCCGATAGAGAGAAAAAGGTTATCTTTTACATGCCTTTGTTGTTACAGTCTATTTCTTTCTTAAGTGCACTCTGTTCTCATGTTGCCTGGTCTCTCGTGCTCTCGTACAATACGAGGAGCCTACTCTTACCATTGGTCTAGGTGTTGAATATTAAGTACTTTAAGGAAAACGAGAAGTCCGGGTAACGTATGTGTTGTTTTCCACTGTCAGTCTTATTCTTTGTGTTGATGGCAGATTAGGATGATTGGGTTGCTACTGGCAGTTTTTGGCTTTCTGGCAATCATAGTTGCTGGAAGCTTGCAGATAGCCGACCGAGGAATGCGATGGATCTTTGTTGGGTTATTAAGTTGTGCTTCTCTCGTATCAATGTTTGCTTCCCCGTTGTTTATAATCGTAAGTTGGTTGATCAAATGCACTTGTAGTATTTTTTTCTCTTACATTCGATTGTTTTTGGAAATTTTTAATGACATGATCTTTGTTCCCAGAATTTAGTAATTCGAACAAAAAGTGTTGAATTCATGCCATTCTATCTCTCCCTCTCAACATTCTTGATGAGCACCTCGTTCTTCCTATATGGCATCTTTAACTTCGACGCCTTTATTTATGTAAGCTTCCTCTAACATTGATGACAGCTTCTTGTTTTCGATTTAATAGTTGTTGATCTTATGTGTTAATATCATGTGTTAATATTGCATCGTTGTTTTTCAGGTTCCAAATGGAATCGGAACTGTTTTGAGGATTCTGCAACTCACGTTGTACTTCTACTATAAAACAAAGTCTGTCGAAGAATCCCGAGAACCACTCATGGTGTCACATGCGTAACTCTTGCTTTTTCTTTGAATAGGTAATTTCCTCTATATTCCATTTCTATGCTTCGATGATTTTCCGTTTGTATGCTGGTAGAAAGTTTTTTGATGTTGAGGTGTATAGTGACCGGAATCTTGATGTATGGTCTCATTCGTTGTATAGACATGAAACCATACTTATATTTTGGGTTTTTTTCATCGGCAATAGGTAAATTTTATTAATAAGGACCAACTTAATTTAAAACCTCGTTAAAAACCTCTCTAGATCTAAACAGAAGAAAATAGTAATTTGAACCAGGATAACAAGGACTAATAGAAGAAACAGTACACTCCAGAACATAAGGAACACCCCCTTCACACAACAAACTAACAACTACCCAAAGCATATAGCAGCAAGGAAACGATGGCCTGCCTACCAGCATGCAATGAAGTTTCAGCTCTCTCAACTGCTTGTTCTGCAACAAAATTCCCTCGAAGAGTTCTCTTTTTCACCTTTTTTTTGCAAATCTTTGTTGAACTCTCTCGAACAGTCTAATGAACCACCATGGTCTCCCAGTTGTGAATACAATGTATCCCATGCTCAGTCCCAGCACCAATCCACATCCATATCCCATCAATATTGAAAATTTCCAATTAACTCCATCATCATCATCATCTCTATCAAATCTGACTGGAGTTTTCTCATCATTATCACAGCTTTTTGACAATGGCAGTCCGCATAAACCCAGGTTTCCTACGTAGGAATCATCATTGAAAGTATCAAATTGTTTGCCTTGAGGAATGGGCCCCTCTAGATTATTATGGGAAAGGTTTAACACCTCCAAGAATCCAAGATTTTTAAACTCTGTTGGAATTCTTCCATGGAGCTTGTTTGATGAGAGATCTAATGATTCAAGCTCCGACAAATCACCAAATGATGATGGGATAGGACCTGTTAAACAATTATGAGAGAGGTTTAGGACAATCAGTGAATGAAGCTCGCCAAGTGTCTTAGGAATTTCTCCTGAGAATTGGTTGTTGGAAAAGTCGATAACTGTCCATATGGTTGATAGTTTCTCAAACTCTGTTTCCAACCCTTTTGTTGTAAAAGATAAACCTAGCACAGTATATGTTGTTCCACCATCTATTGCATCCCTCATGTACTCTGGTTTAACTTTCTTTTCATTCACTTCTCTAATGGCATGTAAATTTTCAAAAAAGTTCATAGGTAGATAGCCACTGAAGTTATTACGAGAAACATCAATGACACGCAAACGAGTGAAGGTAACATCAGAGCTATTCACCTTACCATAAAATCTATTTGATCTCAAGTCAAGCACTTGTAACTGATCCGAATTTCCTAACCAGTTTGGGAAAGTGTCACTCAAATAGTTGTTTCCAACATCGAGAAGCTTCAAGTCTTTACAATTACCCAAAGATCGTGGTAATGACCCTTCTATTTGGTTGTTGTTGATTCGAAAACTGAGTATCGAGCAACCTTTAACAAAATTTTCAGGTATTTTACCATGAAAATTATTCATCCCTAAGTCAAGCACCGAAAGATAACTCAAATTGCCAAAGCATTCCGGAATTGTTCCATCCAAACTGTTGTTCCATAAAGAGAGCATACGAAGGGAACTTAAATTGCATAATGAGGAAGGAATACGACCTTGCAGAAAATATGGAATAGAGTTAGAATTAGATGTTTGAAATTTTTTGAAACATGCATGACGCGTATAGCCAATAGGCACGATTGCTTAATTTACTTAACAAGATCAGGCCATTTCTTAGATGAAACCAATATCATCATTTATGGAGCCTAAATTGTAGTAAAATATATAATTGGTTTTAAAAGGATTTTAGATATTTTTTTCATTAAACAAAAAGACGACAACAGAAAATCAGTTCACTCTCTAACAGCTGGGTATGTATAACAAATACCATCTTTGTGACTGCATCAGAAAATGTATTTTTGAAAAATTCACTTATATTACATGACATTCACAAATTGCCAAATTTTGGACAGAAAATTTTCCAGCGAAAAAAAAAAGTTGATATTGAAAAAAACCAAAGGAAAATTGGTTTAGTTCATTTCGAGTTGAATTTTTTTTAAAATTGAAATCATTTTAGAATGGATATATATGAGTCTAATATTTAAATTATTTATGTTTGAATACCAAAGGACACATCAAATGAAAAAAAATCTTATAATTAATTAATAAATATATAACAAAATAACAACAAAAATTCAAGAAAAAAATAACAACAAAAAGAGGAATGAAAGTTATATTATATCTGTCAAGTTGTTATCCAAAAAACTAATGATCTCTAAAGAAGTTATATTTCCAATAACCGATGGAATTGTACCTGAAATATATAACTAAATTAATAAAAAAATAATTTGACAAAAAACGTATATTATGTCTTGATGAGTATAGTAGTGTGATTGAGTATCTTTATGCTTATTTTTTTAGAATTTGGGTAATTTTATTTTTCCGTAACTAGAACTAGAACTTACATACTCTATTTGTCTCATATTAAATAATATGACTTATGGAATACGTACAATTGGTTTCTTGATCTCCACATCCAATTGCAAGACATGAATGCGTTTTATCATTTTCGTCAATTGAAGACATTTTATATACGTTGCAGAAGTTTGGACTAATCAAATAGTTAAAAGTTGTACTATTTTTTTAAGAGCCAAGAATATTACTATGTTAATAAAATAATTGAAAAGCTAAAATAAATTAGGACAATATAATTAAAAAAATTCAATGATAAAGAACTCTTTTGTAACCCCCTAGACCCGGCCTATGCGTTCGACTAAGTCTAGTGTATCACATTATGATTATTAAAGACATTTTTCCAAAACCGTTATTAAATCAATGTAAAATCACATTATAAATGACATGAAATTATAATAAATCATACTATCAAAACCCAACTTGTAAATATAATATCAATAAGTAATAAATTAATTTAAAACATATCTTAAAAAAAATCAAATCACGATAAACCGAATAGTAATAGCAAAAGTGTCATCATATTAAAATCCCATACTTTAAAATAAGGTCCATGTCAACAAAATAAAGTCAACTTGCAAGGTAAAAACATTACAATCAGATATACTTCAAGAGATATGTTGATCCTCCAAGTGCTCAATCCAGGGTATCTAACCAACAGTATCTGAAAGGGGGAAAATATTTTCGAAAAGTGAGCTAGGCTCAGTGTGTCCCAACATTACCATAAAATAACTATAGGTACACTAAACATATCATAGTCCAAAAAGTCTCATAAAATTATACTGCAGTAAATCTCTTTAAAAAGCGTTACCCTAAGGGAACATCTTAGGGCCTGAGAGCCTACCCAAGATAGATTTCGGGGCCGTGGGGCCTACCTAAGAACACATCTTAGGGCCGCAGGGCCTACCCGAGAATGATCTCAGGGCCGCAGAGCCTACCTAAGAGTCACATTAGGTCCGTAAAATTTTCCAGCTTGATCAGAGCTGTACTTTATAAATTCGTATTCCAAAAATTCAATTGCACCGTGTTATAAATTCCATAAATCCATAAACATGGTAATCATATACCATTTCAAAACAATTATCAGATAACAGTCATAATCCATAAATCATCACATTAAATCGGTGCATCAACAATACGAAAACCAAAGAATTCAGTGCACCACATATTAAACAAATAAAACAGATCAGTAATAATAGGGAACACACCTCGATAATATGTTCAAATCGTGGATCTACTGATTGCTGGTTTCACCACGCTCTGCTACAGTTTTCGAACCTAATTTATAATATCACTATATTACTAATGGGTAACATAAATAAATCTCTAAAATCATAAAATTTACGAGTCTTACGAGTGAATACTGGTATACGTGGTTTAACTGATCTAGAAGAGTTGGGTCGAGCTATCGAACGATCCGGAGAGTCTCTTGTACCTTCAAACAATAATAATTAATCAGCCCCAAATCTTACTTAATTGTTCAAAGCTAGAATTCTTAAGTATATAAGCATTTTTCGGGTTTGACTATCATTTTGTGGTATTTTGAGTCTGAATTTGGCCAAACGGATTGCGGAATCGAAATCAGGACGTCGAAAAACATAAAGTATGACTTTTTGAAAATTCAGATTCTTGGTCAAAGTCAAAGTCAACCACTTTGACCGTAGATTTGGAGACCTTCGGATTCGAATTTGACAAAACAGACCACGGAAACGGATTTGGCACGTCGAAAACTATCAGGATAGGTATACTCGGAAAAGATTAATGGTCGTTTAATGCTCGGTCAAAGCCATTTTAAGTTTTGGTCAAAGAAAGTCAACGGTCAACGGTCAACGGTCAGGTCGGGTCGGGTCGGGTCAGGTCAACGGTCAGGTCGGGTCGAGTCAACGGTCGGGTCAGACCGATCAAACCGGCTCAGACCGGTCAAACCGATTCAGACCGGTCAAACCGGTTCGAACCGGTTGAAACCGGTCAAACCGGTCAGAACCGGTTGAAAACCGGTTAAACCAGTTTCCAGCAGCCACTCGCCCTGCGGCGGCGCGTGTGGCGCGTGAGGCGTCCTCCGGGGCCCTAAAAATCCCGAAAAAATTTCTAAAAATTATTTTGAGCGATTTCGAGATACTTACAACGATCGGTTCAAATTTTTGAACGGCGGAGAGCTCGTATTTCAACTCAGCCGAATCTTTGACTGCTCCACCTCCTCACGCGCGGCCGTCGACGGCGAACAAGGTTGACACCGGCGGACTCGCAATGACACAAGGAACACGATGGTGCAGGAGGTGTCGTAAACGGAACAAC